TAAGCACCACAGAATGGCGGCCGTAGGACAATTCTCCATGGTCACGTATCCTTCAGCACACATGTCCACCAGTCAACACTCACAACGGCCACGGGTTTACATAGATAAAAGATAAGCAGCAGTGCGAATATATATACAGGGACTGGAATTCCCCGAGCTTGTGCTTACACAGCTCTCGTACCCATAACACACCGAACGTTTCGCTCAACGAGCTCGCCTTTGAAGTGGTCGAATCTGTTTTGAATCCAAGAATGGCGACCTTGGACAAGCCACCAGAGAGAGTTCATCAAAGCAAATGAAAACGGCGCTGAGGGAAAAACTAGCTAGACGCGTTTGAGATCCTCAACCCCTTCCACATCCACAGCGTCCCGAGCAGCGAGGTTCACGACCGAGTCGATGAAATTCCCGAGCGCGAAGACAAACAGTCGGTATTTACCGAAAACATCGAATAAAAAAACAAAATACAGGCACGCAGGATCCCGGGATGAAGTCTAATGGTCTGAAACAGAAACTTCTGGAGCCGGAGAGAGGAAACCATCAACAGCTCATTGAGCTTCGGGATTTCTGAGAAAGGAACGGCGGTAATGTCGGGGGAACAAAGCCGGGTCGTAATGGAATTTTAAGACCGTGTTCATGTTTTTTAAAGGACTGAAACGCAACTCGTTATTTAAAGCATCTGTTATCGAGTTCCTCGAGTTTTTGGCTGGAGGAACGCGGCCAATTTTTTTTCAATATTATCTATTTTGATGCGTTATTAAGGCCGTAAATAAGAAGTGGAATTTGAGAACGCGTGGATTGGGTATCTCCTATCACGGCGTAGAGTCTCCTATTGACCGAGGAAGGAACCTCATGAAGGTACTGAGATCTTTCAGAAGTTGAGTTAGCCAATTAAGGGTCTCACGTAGACTCCAAACGTGTTACAGAATGCTACGTTTCCTGGCCTTCCATAGGGTGAAGGTTCAAACTGGGGACTGGCTACCATGAACCGTAACCCAGGGCGCTGTTAAAGTAGATGTACTGTGGGGGGAAAATAAGATTTGAGATTTGAGAAATGAAGGTTCGATCGGTTTTATCATAGGTGTCAGAGACAGAATATCGACCAAAAATCCCGAAAATACACGAGATGCAAATGTTATTAAATGGAGTTGCAGTTCAGTGAGGAAAATAAGTATTTGATCAAAACACAACTTGGTGGAGGAACCTTTGTTGGAGAGCACAGAGGTGAGACGTCTCTTGTAGTTGGTGGAGGAACCTTTGTTGGAGAGCACAGAGGTGAGACGTCTCTTTTAGTTGGTGGAGGAACCCTTGTTGGAGAGCACAGAGGTGAGACGTTTCTTGCAGTTGGTGGAGGAACCCTTGTTGGCGAGAACAGAGGTGAAACGTTTCATGTAGTTGGTGGAGGAACCCTTGTTGGTGAGCACAGAAGTGAGACGTTTCTTGCAGTTGGTGGAGGAACCCTTGTTGGCGAGAAAAGAGGTGAGATGTTTCTTGTAGTTGGTGGAGGAATCCTTGTTGGCGAGCACAGAGGTGAGACGTTCCTTGTAGTTGGTAGAGGAACCCTTGTTGGTGAGCACAGAGGTGAGACGTCTCTTGTAGTTGGCGGAGGAACACTTGTTGGTGAGCACAAAGGTGAGACGTTTCTTGTAGTTGGTGGAGGAAACTTCTGTTGGAGAGCACAGAGGTGAGACAGAGTGAGACGTTCTTGGTGGAGGAACCTTTGTTGGTGAGCAGTTGGTGGAGGAACCTTTGTTGGCGAGCACAGAGGTGAGACTTTTCTTGTAGTTGGTGGAGGAACCTTTGTTGACGAGCACAAAGACGTTTCTTGTGAGAACCCTTGTTGTTTCTTGTAGTTGGTGGAGGAACCTTGTTGGTGAGCACAGAGGTGAGACGTTCCTTGTAGTTGGTGGAGGAATCCTTGTTGGAGCAAAGAGGTGAGCAAAGAGGTGAGGAACAATCCTTGTAGTTGGTGGAGGAACCTTTGTTGGTGAGTACAGAGGTGAGACGTTTCTTGAAGTTGGTGGAGGAACCCTTGTTGGTGAGCACAAAGGTGAGACGTTTCTTGTAGTTGGTAGAGGAACCCTTGTTGGCAAGCACAGAGGTGAGAGGTTCCTGTAGTTGGTGGAGGAACCCTTGTTGGTGAGCACAGAGGTGAGATGTTTCTTGTAGTTGGTGGAGGAACCCTTGTTGGTGAGCACAGAGGTGAGACGTTTCTTGTAGTTGGTGGAGGAACACTTGTTGGTGAGCACAGAGGTGAGACGTTTCTTGCAGTTGGTGGAGGAACCTTTGTTGGTGAGCACAGAGGTGAGAGGAACCCTTGTTCCTTGTAGTTTCTTGTAGTTGAGGAGGACACTTGTTGGTGAGCACAGAGGTGAGACGTTTTGTAGTTGCCTTTGTTGGTGAAGCAGTTGGTGGTTGGTGGAGGAACCTTTGTTGGTTGGTGAGCACAGAGGTGAGACGTTTCTTGTAGTTGGTGGAGGAAACCCTTGTTGGCGAGCACACAGAGGTGACACAGAGGTGAGACATTTCTTGCAGTTGGTGGAGGAACCTTTGTTGGCGAGGCGAGCACAGAGTTGTGAAACTTTTGGTGAGCACAGAGGTGAGCAGTTGGTGGACGAACCTTTGTTGGCGAGCACAGAGGTGTGATTTTTTCTTGTAGTTGGTGTGGTTTGTTGGCGAGCACAGAAGACCCCTTGCAGTTGGTGGATGAACCCTTGTTGGCAAGCACAGAGGTGAGAGGTTCCTTGCAGTTGGTGGAGGAACCCTTGTTGGCAAGCACAGAGGTGAGAGGTTCCTTGTAGTTGGTGGAGGAACCCTTGTTGGCAAGCACAGAGGTGAGACGTTTCTTGTAGTTGGTTACCAGGTTTGCACACATCTCAGGAGGGATTTTGGTCCACTCTTCTTTACAGATCTTCTCTAAAACCTTAAGGTTTCTTGGCTGTCACTTGGCAACTCGAAGTTTCAGCTCCCTCCATAAATTGAGGTCTGGAGACCGGCTAGGCCACTTCATGACCACAATGTGCTTCTTCTTGAGCCACTCCTTTGTTGCCTTGGTGGTATGTTTTGGGTCATTGTCATGCTGGAAGACCCATCCATGACCCATCTTCAGTGTTCTGCCTGAGGGAACAAAGGTTCTCATCCAAGATTTTACAGTACATGGCCCCGTCCATTGGCTCCTCATTGCGGCAAAGTCGGCCTGTACCGTCATACTTACCCCATGAGGCGAAATCTTGCATGGAGCCCCAGACCGAGGAGAGCGATTGATGGTTATCGCAACCATTTGAGAGTAATCTGAGGACATCCTGTGGAGAAGAAGAGCCCTTGCGAGGTAGACAGCTCCAGGTGGAATGTACCTACTGCATGCAGAGCTGCCTAGGCTTGAGGACCTTTAAAAATAGAGATTTCCATGGAATTGACTATCTATACCAAGTCGTGGACAAAGAACTCAATCTTGAGATGTGTGGGAAAGAGATGACTCTTGGATGATAGAAAGACGCCAATTAGTCAGAGGAAGCCCATGTGCGGCACAGATGCTGACGATGGCGTTTTTGCAGCAGTGACCTAATCCAGAGTTCCCATCAGCGGTGACAAAGAAATTGGGGGCGAGAACGAGAACATCACACAGAACACGTCCCACCAACATCCCACATTTCCTCAATGGTTCCACTGACACCAATGATGGGGCACTATTCCTCCACTGACACCAATGATGGGGCACTATTCCTCCCACTGACACCAATGATGGGGCACTATTCCTCCACTGACACCAATGATGGGGCACTATTCCTCCCACTGACACCAATGATGGGACACTATTCCTCCCACTGATACCAATGATGGGGCACTATTCCCCCCACTGAAACCAATGATGGGGCACTATTCCTCCCACTGACACCAATGATGGGGCACTATTCCTCCCACTGATACCAATGATGGGGCACTATTCCTCCCACTGATACCAATGATGGGGCACTATTCCTCCCCCCAATACCAATGATGGGGCACTATTCCTCCCACTGACACCAATGATGGGGCACTATTCCCCCCACTGACACCAATGATGGGGCACTATTCCCCCCACTGATACCAATGATGGGGCACTATTCCTCCCACTGATACCAATGATGGGGCACTATTCCTCCCACTGACACCAATGATGGGGCGCTATTCATCCCACTGACACCAATGATGGGGCACTATTCCTCCCACTGACACCAATGATGGGGCACTATTCCTCCCACTGACACCAATGATGGGGCACTATTCCCCCCACTGACACCAATGATGGGGCACTATTCCTTCCACTGACACCAGTGATGGGGCACTATTCCCCCCACTGATACCAATGATGGGACACTATTCCTCCCACTGACACCATTGATGGGGCACTATTCCTCCCACTGACACCAATGATGGGGCACTATTCCTCCCACTGACACCAATGATGGGGCACTATTCCTCCCACTGACACCAATGATGGGGCACTATTCCTCCCACTGACACCAATGATGGGGCACTATTCCTCCCACTGACACCAATGATGGGGCACTATTCCTCCCACTGATACCAATGATGGGGCACTATTCCTCCCACTGACACCAATGATGGGGCACTATTCCTCCCACTGACACCAATGATGGGGCACTATTCCTCCCACTGACACCAATGATGGGGCACTATTCCCCCACTGACACCAATGATGGGGCACTATTCCCCCCACTGACACCATTGATGGGGCACTATTCCCCCACTGACACCATTGATGGGGCACTATTCCCCCCACTGACACCATTGATGGCGCACTATTCCTCCCACTGACACCATTGATGGCGCACTATTCCTCCCACTGACACCAACGATGGGCACTATTCCCCCACTGACACCAATGATGGGGCACTATTCCCCCCACTGACACCAATGATGGGGCACTATTCCTCCCACTGACACCAATGATGGGGCACTATTCCCCCACTGACACCAATGATGGGGCACTATTCCTCCCCCTGATACCAATGATGGGGCACTATTCCTCCCCCCTGACACCAATGATGGGGCACTATTCCTTCCCACTGACACCAATGATGGGGCACTATTCCTTCCACTGACACCAATGATGGGGCACTATTCCCCCCACTGATACCAATGATGGGACACTATTCCTCCCACTGACACCAGTAAATGGGCCCTTGTTTGGATAGATTGTGGGCCCCTGGTGTCTATCCTGTACATACCAAGGTTTGCAGATACACGTCCTGGCAGTTTTGTATGTGGGGGGAGGGGGTTGGTTCTATCTGAAGCTTTGCACCAGGGTCCTGGATACCGCCAGTCATCTGCAGAGGGTACATTTCTGGTCTATAACAGTAATGTTGGTGTCACCCTGTGTCCCGGCACAAAGGAGGACATTCCTCCTTCTGTTCTGGTGCCAGGGTGTCAGTGACACCTCGCACAGATGACATTTCAGGCCTGGCACCGAGCGGAGGGTTTTATGGGGAGGATTTCTCCGCAGTCAGCACACGTCGGGCGTCAATCTCCGGCATCTGACTTCAATCTGCCTCCAGAATCGCAGGGCCGGCTGATAAAAGGCAGCATGCGGCCTGTGTGGAGGTGACTGTGATAAAGTGCAGACCCCCCCCCTCCCCCTCCCCCGGGGGGCCGGATATGGAAACAAATGGAGCTACCGGGCTATGCCGCAACCATACGTGACACCCACAGGCTGGCGGACCAGAGCGCTTGGTTTGCTGAAAGATAGAAAATTCACCAAGTTTTCCGCACCGTTTCCTCTCGGCTGCAATTTCTTCTGTTCAAGAAGTGCGGAGAGAGGGAGAGATCGTGGAAGTGCGGGAAATGTTCGATTCACAGGACAGGAGCACGCAAGAAAATGACCAACGCGTTTCGGGGCTCAGTGCTCCCCTTCATCAGGGCTATGATGGAACACTATTTCTCCCACTGACACCAATGATGGGGCACTATTCCTCCCACTGACACCAATGATGGGGCACTATTCCTCCCACTGACACCAATGATGGGGCACTATTCCTCCCACTGACACCAATGATGGGGCACTATTCCTCCCACTGACACCAATGATGGGGCACTATTCCTCCCACTGACACCAATGATGGAGCACTATTCCTCCACTGACACCAATGATGGGGCACTATTCCTCCCACTGACACCAATGATGGGGCACTATTCCTCCCACTGACACCAATGATGGGGCACTATTCCTTCCACTGACACCAATGATGGGGCACTATTCCTCCCACTGACACCAATGATGGGGCACTATTCCCCCCACTGATACCAGTGATGGGGCACTATTCCTCTCACTGACACCAATGATGGGGCACTATTCCTCCCACTGACACCAATGATGGGGCACTATTCCCCCCACTGATACCAGTGATGGGGCACTATTCCTCCCACTGACACCAATGATGGGGCACTATTCCCCCCACTGACACCAATGATGGGGCACTATTCCTCCCACTGACACCAATGATGGGGCACTATTCCTCCCACTGACACCAATGATGGGGCACTATTCCCCCCACTGACACCAATGATGGGGCACTATTCCTCCACTGACACCAATGATGGGGCACTATTCCTCTCACTGATACCAATGATGGGGCACTATTCCTTCCACTGACACCAATGATGGGGCACTATTCCCCCCACTGACACCAATGATGGGGCACTATTCCTCCCACTGATACCAATGATGGGGCACTATTCCTCCCACTGACACCAATGATGGGGCACTATTCCTCCCACTGACACCAATGATGGGGCTCTATTCCTCTCACTGACACCAATGATGGGGCACTATTCCTCCCACTGATACCAATGATGGGCTCTATTCCTCCCATTGACACCAATGATGGAGCACTATTCCCCCCACTGACACCAATGATGGGGCACTATTCCTCCCACTGACACCAATGATGGGGCACTATTCCTCCCACTGACACCAATGATGGGACACTATTTCCCCCTACTGACACCAATGATGGGACACTATTCCTTCCACTGACATCAATGATGGAACACTATTCCTCCCACTGACACCAATGATGGAACACTATTCCTCCCACTGACACCAATGATGGAACACTATTCCTCCCACTGACACCAATGATGGGACACTATTCCTCCCACTGACACCAATGATGGGGCACTATTCCTCCCACTGACACCAATGATGTGGCACTATTCCTCCCCACTGACACCAATGATGGGGCACTATTCCTTCCACTGACACCAATGATGGGGTACTATTCCTCCCACTGACACCAATGACGGGGCACTATTCCTCCCACTGACACCAATGATGGGGCACTATTCCTCCCACTGACACCAATGATGGGGCACTATTCCTCCCACTGACACCAATGATGGGACACTATTCCTCCTACTGACACCAATGATGGGGCACTATTCCTCCCACTGATACCAATGATGGGACACTATTCCTCCCACTGACACCAATGATGGGGCACTATTCCTCCCACTGACACCAATGAGGGGGCACTATTTCCTCCCACTGACACCAATGATGGGGCACTATTCCTCCCACTGACACCAATGATGGGGCACTATTCCTCCCACTGACACCAATGATGGGGCACTATTCCTCCCACTGACACCAATGAGGGGGCACTATTCCTCCCACTGACACCAATGATGGGGCACTATTCCCCCCACTGACACCAACGGTGGGGGTACTATTCCCCCCACTGACACCAATGATAGCTACATTAATAATAGATGGATGACACAATGATGGGGGCAGAAAAAGATAATATAATAATCAATGTTCTCAGACTGTATGACTGCACAGAATGTATCATCTCCCATATCTCAATGTAGACCTGGGGCCCCCAGTGAAGGTCTGTAGGCCCTGGGTGTCAATGGACTGTGAATGTATCAGCAACGCCCATAGTGCCACACCGGAGGAGCCCAGCATTGGCTGTAATTGCAGATGATCTGAGCCCCTCCCGTGTCGAACGTCTGGAATCCGCCTCTACAGCACGAGGCAACGGTGTCATAAACCCTGAAGGCCACGACTACACGAGGAAACGAGCGATCCATCAGTAGTCAGATACGACCACAAACGTCATTGACCCGGCAGGAGACATGCTTTGATGCATTTTTAATTCTCCCTTCCCCCGTCCAGGGGCGCTCCGCCTTCATTCCGCTCTTAGGCTCCGGTTCCGATATTGACTCACCGAACGGCTCTCTGCTCATTGCTGGCACCTCGGGGGTCTGGGCCTCGGCCCGCCGTCGGAAGGTCCAGGCTGAATATGAGATTGCGGAATGTATTTTTCATCGATCCGAACCTCCTCGGTTACCAAAAGAGAAAAAAAAAATCTGCCTTTGTTTCAAGTGCGTGCCGATTGGCAGCAGAACGGATCTGAGCTGTGCCGATAGACGTCCTGGCGTTCGTTAATATAGAACGAGAAAAGTACGGGAGGATTTGAGTGCAGATCGGTCTACGGGAGACTAGACTCAACTATCTGGACCTCATAGAACGTTTACGGACCCTTCACACCCAGGGGTGCTGTTAGAAACCATGGGGGGCCCCACGCAGCCAACCTGACAGCCCTCTCCCCAAAAAACACAGTTTACTATGCTTCAGTTATGAATGAACACAGTGACTGATCTGTCCTTGTGTTCATTCAGGAAAGGAAGAGGCTGGTAAATGTGACATATTTACTGGACTCTTCCACCACTCTCCATCCAGTCGAATCCAATCTGACAGCCCCCCCACTCCAAAAAAAAAACACAGTTTACTATGCTTCAGTTAGGAATGAACACAGTGAAGGATCGGTACCAATCATGCACTGTGCTCATTCAGGAAAGGAAGGGGGGCTGGTAAATGTAACATATTTACCGGACCCTTCCCCACTCTCCGACCTGAGGGATCCAACTTGACAGCCACCCCCCAAAAAAAACTGTTTGCTATGCTTCAGTTATGAATTAACACAGTGAAGGATCGGTACCAATCACTCATTGTGTTCATTCAGGAAAGTAAAGTTCTGGTAAATGTGACAAATTTACCAGACCCTTCCCCCACTCTCCATCCTGAAGGATCCAACCTGACAGCCCCACCTCCAAAAAAAACCACAGTTTACTATGCTTCAGTTATGAATGACACGGTGAGTGATTGGTTCAATCACTCATTGGTTCATTCAGGAAAGGAAGGGCCTTGTAAATGTGACATATTTACCGGACCCCTCCCCACTCTCCAACCTGAAGGATCAACCTTGACAGCCACCCCCCCAAAAAAACACTGTTTGCTATGCTTCAGTTATGAATGAACACAGTGAAGGATCGGTACCATTCACTCATTGTGTTAATTCGGGAAAGAAAGGGCCTGGTAAATGTGACATATTTACCGAACTTTTCCCCCACTCTCTATCCTGAAGGATCCAATCTGACAGCCCCCTCCCCCCATAGTTTACTATGCTTTAGTTATGAATGAACACGTGAGTGATTGGTTCGATCACTCATTGTGTTCATGCAGCAAAGGAAGGGGCTGGTAAATGTGACATATTTACTGGACCCCTCCCCCACTCTCCATCCTGAAGGATCCTATTGGGTGCTTTGTGGGAAAGGAGGGAAAGCAGGCATCACTGTGGGGGGTACATGGGGGGCCCTGAGCAGCAGGGGTAAATGTATGGTGCACAGGGGGGGATGTGTGCAGTGGGGGGCAATTACTGGAACCGATCCCCTGTATGGCTCTCTCTGCAGCAGCTGAAAGCCAGCGGGAGGGAGAGGAGGAGAAGCCGTCTGTCAGCTGCCGCAGAGGGGATATACAGGGGATCAGTTCCAGTAATTGCCCCCCCGCCATGCCAATCACCCTCCCGCCCACAGCCGATTCCCCCTGCTGGTCTGGGCCCTCCTGCTGGCCAAGGGCCCTGTACAGGAGGACTGCTGGTACCCCCCATTATCCAAGGCCCTGTTCACAACACTGTATGATATGTTGGGATGCCCGAACTTTATGACCACCACCTTGTAGGTAGGTGCAGATATCTACTTCACCACTAGGTGGGTCTATAACAGAATGGTGTCTGGTACAGCAGGTAGTGTCACCGGGTGTTACGTTCCTTTTAGGCGGAGCCCTCTGACAGTGATGTCATGGGCAGGGAGGGGCACCTGGAGCATGGGAACTAGACACCACAAAGCTAGGAAGATGTAGCCAGGGTGGATCTATTGTTCCTGGAGGGGTATAATCTTGCTTGGAGGATCTGTTGTTGCCAGAGTGGATCTGGGACAGTGCTTGGAGTGCTTGGAGTGGGAGGTGGGTAGGGGGTGGAGACAAGGGACATTGCTCGGAGGTGGGTAGGTGGTGGAGACAAGGGACATTGCTCAGAGGGTGGGTAGGAGGTGGAGACAAGGACAGTGCTCGGAGCGGAGGTGGGTAGGGGGTGGAGATAAAGGGACAGTGCTCGGAGGTGGGTAGGGGATGGAGATAAAGGGACAGTGATTGGAGGTGGGTAGGGGATGGAGACAAGGGAAGTTGCTCGGAGGTGGGTAGGGGGGTGGAGACAAGGGACATTGCTCGGAGGTGGGTAGGGGATGGAGACAAGGGACAGTGCTCGGAGCGGAGGTGGGTAGGGGGTGGAGACAAGGGACATTGCTCGGGAGGTTGGTAGAGGGTGGAGACAAGGGACATTGCTCGGAGGTGGGTAGGGGTGGAGACAAGGGACATTGCTCGGAGGGTTGGTAGGGGGAGGTGGGTTTACGGGGGTGGAGACAAGGGACATTGCTTGGAGGTGTGGGTAGGGTGTGGAGACAAGGGACAGTGATCGGAGGTGGGTAGGGGGTGGAGACAAGGGACATTGCTTGGAGGTGGGTAGGGGGTGGAGACAAGGGACATTGCTCGGAGGTGGGGTAGAGGGTACAAGGGACAATGAAGACAGTGCTTGAGTTGGGTTGGAGGTGGACAACATAGGGTGACAGTACAGTACTTGGGATGTGGGTGGGAGGGCAAGGGACAGTGCTCGGAGGTGGGTAGGGGTGGAGACAAAGGACATTGCTCGGAGGTGGTAGGGGGTGGAGACAAGGGACAGTGCTCGAGTGGGTAGGGGGTGGAGACAAGGGGCAGTGCTCGTAGGTGGGTAGGGGGGTGGAGACAAGGGACATTGCTCGGAGGTGGTTCAGGGGTGGAGACAAGGGACATTGCTCGGAGGTGGGTAGGGGGTGGAGAGACAAG